CAGTTTTTGCCCCTTGCCCTCCAAGGTTGACTAAGTTCTGGGGGACTATGGAACATCTCACAAAATGTCCTGTAACTATGGTGAGTCACCTGTCCTCTTGTTCAGGGAGGCCATGGAGACCCAGCGAGATGGACTTGAACCAGTGTCAACTCTACAAAGAGGAGGGTCAACTCAGAAGAAACATCTCACTCATGCTTCCAAGTGAAGCCAAACATATTCGAACAGGACCTTTGACTTATCTTCACATAGGTGGAACTGGTAAAAGAAAAGAACAGGAGCTCCTCCCAAGCCCGTGTGACCCTTGAGGAACAGTTCCTCAAATGACCTTACATGTAAAAATAAATTTATTTATTTGGGCCAACTGTATGGTCTTAAACACTCAAAAAGAAAGTATAATCAAAGAGTAAAGTCATCAGTATATTTATTTAAGAGTTCAAGGGATTACAGTTCCCAGACACTAGGCTAAATCCATATAAAAAATTATTTAGACAATTATTGCTCATTGATGAATTTGTTCCTAACCAGAAACTGCTGCTCAGATGTAAGACTTCAAATCTTGGTCTCCAATACTGTAGTGCCCACCTGTAGCTAAGGAAGACAACCCGCTATTGTTCTAAAATGATGGATAAATTTGTTTTCTCCCCCTATATAGAAGCCTTTGAGAGAGAACAGACACTGCTTCTAACCACTCGAACAGCTATCAAAATACCTGAAAGCAAATCCTGAATCCATCACTCTAGACTCCAGCCTTGGAAGAGAATAGAGAAGTGAGGAGGAACCAATAGAGGGATGGTTTTGGAAGTCTTTATCAAGAAATTCCAATGGACTCTCATATGAAACATTTGAAAATTTCCCTGACTTGTTTCTAGTTCCCTGTCTAGAACTTGTAATGCTAATTACTCTTGTCTTTACTTCTCCTTCATATCTCCTATTCATGATTCAAGGAGTTTCTTTTCCCCCTAGAAGTAAGAGTTATGCAATTTGGGAGTCTTTTAGATAGACCCACTAAGGGGTACTCTAATTTCCTCACCCTGCGTCCCTGTTCAGTATGGAAGAAGCCAGAGCGGTCTGCATCCTGATTCCCTATTGGCAATCAGAAGATGGTGTGATAAGAATAGGAGGTAGGAATTGGCTAGGCAGTTAGGGTAAAAAGACCCCAAAGAAAACTAGCCAGTTTCTTGGCTAAAACTCACAATGTCCTTGGGCCTCTTAGCAACATATGCTGTTCCAAAGGTCAAAAATGTTGAAAATATTTGGGAGCTTTTATCTAATCCTTAAAAGATTTTAGGGTTACCTTTTCAGAGGGGGGAATGTTAGAGTAGCCAAAAGTCCCATAAAAAAAATAAAATAAATAAATCAAAGAAAGAGTACATGAAGTTATCAGAAAAAAGTGATGGGGAGATATGGGAGGAGTAGAGGGGAGGGAGCAGGCATGGATTTGACCAAAACACTATATGCATGTATGAAATTATCAATAAATTATTTATTTTAAAAAAGAAAATACCTCTTACCTATAGTGACCATACCAGGGTCAGTTACAACAAACCATTTTGAGTGCAAGAAGACATTAAAAATGAGGTTAGACATTCTTTTGTTTATTCAAGAAATAATGAACAAAGTTTTATTTGTGATCAGCATACACAAAGCAATATAACAAATTGATTTTATAATTTCACATGCCATTTAATTATTACTCACATTGTATATTATTTGGATTTGCTTCCGTTTTGCTGATCTGTTTTCTAAGCAGAAAATTAACAATAATGAAGCTGTCATTGATTTGGCACTCACCATGCACCAACGCTTCATGTTTCACTGATATTCCTACAAGTGAAGACAGATGTAGTCATTCAGAGAAATAGAGGCTCTGCAAATGTACATAACCTGTCCAGAGTACGAAAAACAAGTGACTGGCAGGGCTGAGACTGCAAATCAAAATCGGTCTCTTCTGGGGCTGGAGAGACGGCTCAGTGGTTAAGAGCACTGGCTGGTCTTGTAGAGGAGCCAGGTTTGATTTCCAGCACCCACATAGCAGCTAACAACCATCTGTAACTCCAGTTCCAGGGGATCCGACGCCCTCTTCTCACCTCCATGGGCACTGCACAACATGGGTGCACTTACACACATGCAGGCAATGCACTCATACACATAAAATAAAATCAATAAAATGATTTTAAAACATTTCTGGCCGTCATGGTGGCCCATAGCTGAGCTCTGCACTCAGCTGAAGCAGGATGCTGGTTTTGAGTTAGCCCCACAGGTAACCTCCCACCACAGCAGCAGGAGAATGCCATCTTGTCCTCAAGCACTTTGACATTGTTTGTACAGTTATCTCCCTTACTAAGTAAATCAAGAATGTGATTGAAAGATCTCAGTAAGAAGCCATCTTTGGCTTATGAAAAGGAAACAAACACTTGATGTACAATAACCCTTTTTATTTTCTTTTCAGATTACTTACTAAAAATACTACACAATTGGCAATATACCCTATTAGTTCTTTGGCACCTAACTTCCAATTGAATTACTTTCACTTTTATATGTAAATAAATTAGCATCTGTTTAACAACACATACACACTCTTAAGTTTAATTATCTCTTCCAATTTTGTTTCCCCACACATCTAATTATAATTGAGCTTTTGAAGTCAAGGTTAGGGAATATATAAAGTCATGATGTGAAGAATTAGTCCAAGTTCAAGAGGGAAACAATATTTCAGATCTGTTCTCTAACCATTGCTGAATATGGATTTTAAGCTTCATTGACCTACCGTATAGTAGCCAGTAACATCAGGTGGCTGTTTCTATATAAATGAATTAGAAACAAACTAAAATTGAAATTTACCTTACTTGGCTGCACTCACCACATTTCAAATGTTCAGCAGCCACCCATGGATAATGGTAACCATATTGGATAGCACAGATACATAAATTTATCACAAAATGTCCTATTGGACAGTCCTGTATAGAAACGATGTCGCAAGAAAGAATTTCACAAGTCAGATAAAAATAAATCAAAATGAACAGCAAGGTCCATTATTTTAAGTCCTGTTTCACAGTTTCGTTCTTCTTGGCAATATCTCCATTTATATTTTCTTTTCAAATTATATATGTATATTAACAAAATAAATTTACCTATGACTATTGTGTTTATAATTCTAAATATAACATAGGGCTGGAGATGTAGCTCAGTGGTAGAATGTTTACCTAGCATGCAGGAGACTCTAGATTCAGTCCCCAGCACTGCAAGCAAATAAAAAGCCCTACATACAAAATAATAATGGTAAACTTATTGAATACTGAATAAATTCAGCAAATGTGCTAAGTGCTTTATTTGAATTAATTCATGTAATCCTTAAGGCAATACTATGCTCATTGTGACAAATTTCAAAACATAAAAATAAAAACTAGAGAGAAAACCACCCTTAACCCAAACCCAGAGATAATCACTGTTGACATTTGTAGCCAGTGCCCTGGTGCACTGCCAGGATCCCAAGACACAACTGTGAGGAACATTGGCGGCTGATGGCTCACAGGTGACTTCCTCCCACAAGCAAGCTGCCTTGTGTGATGGAAACACACTCAAAGCTATGTCCCCTCCCTGGAGGCAACCCAGATCCAATGACTGTGAGCTGTGGCAGTAATAAGGACAGTCCCTCAGTTGGCACAAGGTGAGAGAGCCCAGCTTTACCATTTCAGACGAACCAGGTAAACCCCGTGTAGTAACTGCCCTTCCATTTACCTATTCCTTCACCCAGTCTCGAAGGTGCGATTCCTGGGTGCACCCTCCAACAAACTGCTGGCACGCAGCTGTGTATGCAAGTCTCACAGTCTGTTTCCTGGAAAGCCCAACCAAATGCAGCATTTTAATGTATAAGATCCAAGTTCTGTCTTTCTGCTTGTGTGTGTATAAAAAAATTAAATTTATTTTGCTCCGATAAAAAAAATAAAATAAAGCCAAGTTGTAGAAGTTGATAAATGGGACCAGAGCCACGTTATTAACACAGACGCAGAGCTAACTCTCTGTGGGCTGATTTATAGTTTTTCTGCATCAAATGCAGGTTTGTTCTAAAGCTGTGCATCAATCAGATGGTTACAGCACTTGGGGAAGAAGACATGCTGAGGTTAATGACCATTAGGTACTGATCTTAGCCAAAACTCAGGCTTGAGGAGGAGAAAAGGTTAGGAGACACTCTTTATGTGGGAGTGTATCTAATTCAAACTTTCCAGCAGTCCTCAAGAGTAGACGGAGCAGTGAAATGACATCTTGGGTTATCAAAAAGCATAAAAAGGCCTAGCTCCAGGGAAGGAATCTGAGTCAAACACCCGCCCCAACCCCCATCCCACAGGCCCCAGTACTTTCTAAAAGCCATCCACTGTATGAGGAACAATTCTTGAGCGCTGGTGCTATACTCATTTCACTGCAGTTTTCTTTTCGATTTAAAGGATTGTCAATGGGGGGTAACAATTGAACGTGCACTCAAGTCACCTGCCCCTATGGGCGGTTTCCTGGTGTGCGGTATATGTCTTTTAAATTCTGTTTCTAACGATTTGTATGATCAACACTATCTCCAGTACTGTATGAGCAATCCGCTCCTGATGCCGCAAAGAAAAAGTATCAGCTTGCATAGGCTACCCTAAAGCACTCACTGTTCTCCCTGGGAGATGAGGACTGGTTTCAAGACCAGAGCCTAACTTCGGTCCACTGGGTCAGCATCCAAGCCTCGCCCGTCAGTGCTGACCATGTCGCCTCTTCCCCCACTCCCTCCACCATAGAGAGTGGGTGAAAGGTGGAAGGCGAGCTCCGTACTTTGAGAACCCCTTTCTCGAGAATCTGGGGGCTCCCGGAGCGTGTGCAAAGCCTGCCACGCCCTTCTCTGCCCTGAGCACGCGAAGCCTAGGAGGTTCAGGGTCCAGAGCCTGCAGACCCCGGGGCCTGCAGCTTCTCCCGGGGGGCGCGGCAGGGCGTGGCGGGGGCGGGGCCTGGACAGAGTTGGGGGGAAATCTCCTCCCCCAGTGCAAGGGCGCAGGCGCGGGGTGCGGCGGGTGAAGATGGCGGCGGCGGCGGCGGCGGCGGCAGCTGAGCAGGTCTGTGAACCCCGCGGTGGGCGCGAGCTGGAGGAGCCCAGGGGCCGGGCGAGCCGGCGGGGCCGCGGAGGGTGGGGACCGGGGCTCCGGACCCGTGGGGGCCGGGCTGGGGCTGCGGGGCCGGGTGGCAGGAGCTGTCCGCAGCGGGGATGCTGGCGAAGGCCGGGCGGGACCCTGGGCAGCGGTTCCGGACGGGCGAGGGGAGCTGTCCCTCGACGGGAGAGACTCGGTGTCACCGGCCTGTGGGGCCCCGAGGCGGCAGTGCCAGCCCGAGCCTGCGCTGGGACGTGCGGGCTCCGCTGCCAGGAACGATGCGGATAAAAATAACGTCAGCCCGGGCCGGCAGGCTGCCCGACATCAGCCGAGACGTGGTCAGCTGTTGCCCGGGTGTGGTTGTGTGCACGTCTTGTTTTTGACATGCCTGATGTGCAGACATCCCAGACTTCTCCCTCCCACTTTGATTTTTCTGAGATTCAATCACCAGCATTAAAGTGTCCTCTTGTCCAGCGGGTTTAAAATTACTTTTAAGAAATGCATAGCAAATATGTCCTAGTCTGCATTGTAAACTTGCGACTTAGAATAGTTTGTCTTCTCCCATCAAAATCAACCTGAACTTAAGCATGTACATATGTGTGTGCAAAAGTGTGAGTACATGTTGGTGTATGTAGTTGCTAGAGTGATTTAGTGTAATAAAAAATTGTAGCCACTTCTTAATTGTGGTTTCCCCTTAAAAATTACCTATATGGTAGTTTTTCTTTGAGTTTTAGTCTTCAACGTCATTGAAAAATAAATTGAGTCAAGTTGCTAACATTCATTTTGACCTTTGAGAAATTTTTCTTAGGTGATTAACTTTTTAGAGGCCTGTTAGGTGTATGTTCCTGGAGGACTCGTTCTAAGGGGTAGAAAAAAATAGACATGAAATCGGTCTTAAACTTCTAAACAACTGCAGAACCATTCGTTGCCAAAATAGGAAGGATGCAGATTCATAACAGAATGTAGAGGAATAAGTGCTTGAGACAGAATTGAATATTTGAGGTTGAAATTGTTCCTTGACTTTCCTAATTTACCCCGAAATCAGCCCCTGAGTTAGGCAAGCCTTTTCTCTTCTGCCATGTCTTTTGATGCTCTTGAGATCCTGTTCTTGCTTTATATATAAACGGCGATGTGATCCACTCCTCAGTCTCCAAATTGATGCGTTTGTCTCCAGCCCTGAAGTTAACTTGTCCAAAACTGGATGCATTTTATTCACTTAAAAGGTCTACAGTCATCTGTTCACCTGCCAACCTATACAGAGCAAAGTTAGCTGATGGGAACTCAGGAGAAACACTGGGAATAGTTATCTAGTGTCCTCAAGTTTATATTTGAACAGGGAGCCTTGCTTTCTGTGCCCTGAGAACCAAGAGTTATGTAGCCCCTTCTGCTTGGGGGTCATCATAGACCCCTGTGTCATGCTTATAATCAGCTGGTCTTGGCAGATCTACCTCTCTAAGCTTCTTCCACTTCATCTCCAGAGCCAAGGAAACTGTTGTCAGCACATTCATCTCTAGCTCTTCTACTCCAGTTCATCTCATTTAGGACATAATTCTGCTTCATTGGAAATGTGCTTTGTATTGCTAACCTTTTAAAGCTTCAGTAGGCTCAGTGGATAAAGGCACTTGCCACCAAGCTTGACGACTTATGACCCTGAGTTCAATCCTGGGAACCCACATGATGGAATGAGAGAACCAACTCCCAAAAGTTGTTCTTTAACCTTCTCATGCATGCTGTAGTATGTGTGCCCACACACAGACCTACACATATAATAATAAATAAATAAATAAATAAATAAATAAATAAATAAATGTTAAAAATTCCTTTTCCCAGTGCCCTCAGGATAAAGGCCATGTCTCTTGTAATGCTTTCCTGTTTACTAATCCCTAACCACATCTCTCACTTCCCTTTTTCCCTCATTCCTTTATCTATTCTCTCCACCTACAAAACGTTACCTAAGCTAGTTCCCCCAGAAATGATTTGAACTCAGTCTTCACACTATTTCCTATGCCTAGAATGCCTTTCTCTGCTCTTTTATTTATTTATTTCCTGGAAACTGTATCTGTTCATCTGTTGGGATTGAACTCAAACCTCTACTTTTTAAAGAAAAGTTCACTGAAGCCCAGCCCTCTGAATGGGCTGCGTTCCTCTGCTCTGTCTTTTCATTACTGTGCTACTACAGCACTCGTGTTAAACTGTAGACCCTACTGTTAAATCAGCTCCCTGATGCATAGCCCTATAGCTTACTCATCAGTTTGGAATGCCTGACATGTGGTAGCTATTCAGTAAATATTAAATGCATCAAATTGAAAGTAATAATGTATATGAATTGGCAGAGAAAAAGCGTTTGTCCCCAGCAGGGGAGAATTATGTAAGCCTGAATTGAAATTCTGCCTAACAGGTTTTTTTTCCTCTATTTTGATTTTGTGTTTGTTTGTTTGCTTGCTTGCTTGCTTGAGATAGGGTCTCACACTATAGCCCAGGATAGCCTGGAACTCACTAGGTAGCCCAGGCGGACCTCATAATGTGAGTAATCAGTGCTGAGGTTTGTTACAAGCATGAGCCCATGCCCAGATGCATAAGACTTCCAGGTTGCCCACACTGAAGGTTGTCCCAACCCATAGTATGTCTGTGCTTATTAAAAGACAGCACTCTTTCCTGAGGGTATTTTACTGCTTTGGGTTGAAAACCAATCTAAATGCCTATTTGCTAACTGGTCTTCAGTGTTACATCCCTCTTAGATATTGCAGCTTCATGCATTCCATGACCTGCACAATTGGATTTAGCTATTGGTTTTGAGTAGACTATGTTTCCTTCTACCACTTTGTGAAGCTTCCATTTTCATCAAAATGTAATTCCTTTCTTTTTCCATTGTCCATCAGCCTTCCATCAGCATTAAGATAGCAGACCCTCCCTTATACAACTCTAAGAGGAAGAATGTTTTCACTTTTTCAGGCAAACCTTCCCATCAAGTTTCAGATGAAATGGGTGGGGCCTTACCGTTTAAGGTCATCCCCGCCCACAGTATGCACTGCTTGCTTTCCTCTGCCTTCTCATGTTGTGCTGTTCTCTAAGAGCTTTGGTCTTTACCACTGTGTTAAATTTTTACTGCTATAACAAACACTAGAGATAAACAACATCTAAAACTGTTGTTTGGGCTCACAGTTCTGGAGGTTCCAATTCCTGGTTGGTTGGCTCCATTACTTCTAGGCCTGTGGGAGGCACTATATCAAGGTGGGAATGAATAGTTGAAGTGAGAGGAGTGAGTGGAGGAAAGACCAGAGGGCCACTGTCCCCTTCAGGATTCTTCCCCCACTCACTTAAGGACCTCCAGCTAGGCTCATTGCCTCCCCATAGTGATATACTAGGGAGCAAGCTTTCCCCCATGGACCCTTCAGGAACACATAGGATGCCCCTTGGACTTTTTTCTTCACCTGCTATAAAAATACAGATCTTTCACTAAATTAAGAAGAAGGAAGAGACTAAAAGCTTTCCTCTGACAGCTCACATACTCTTATACTTTTCTCTTTTGGACATAAAAATAGGTGGCATGCCTGCTGACAGGGTTTCAGACTGTCTTCAGCATTCCTTCCTTGCCAATTTGCTATCCAGAATCAGTCTTTGAAGGCCGAGAAGGCACTTTGTGAAAAGTAAGGCCAGCAGTGCTGCATGCTCTTACATTTCTTACAGTTCATGGTACTTCTCACTTTCCAGTGGTCCTGCACATTCCAAGTACCCTGAGACTACCCTACATACTCAGCTTTTCTCCTCCCACACCATACTATTCCCTCCGTACTGTTTTTGAACTGATATTTTCTCATAGTTCTGATTTACCTGTGAACTGAAGACTCCTGAGCCTGCATCACTAATCCTAAACAACTTGCTGTCCAGTCTTAAACTCCCAGTTGCCTTCCAGGCATACAAATTTCTTTTTAAATTAAAGTGAATGTAGCCCAGTATGATGACACAGGTCAGTAATCCCAGCAGTCAGGAGGTAGAGGCAGGAGGATTGCAATTTTGAGCTCATCCTGAACTACATAGCAAGTTCCAGGCCAGACTTGGTTATATAGCAAGACCTGTTTCAAAAAACCAAGGGCCAGTGGTTTAAAAGATGGCTCAGTGGGTAAAGTACTTGCCATGAAAAGCACGAGGACCGGAATTCAAATCCCCAGCACCAAGTACAATCTGGGCAGGTGTGGCAGCCTGACTGTGTAATCCCAGCACTCAGAAGGTTGAGACAGGACATCTTGGAGTAAGCTGGCTAGCTACACTAGCTAAACTGGTGAACTCGGGGTACAGGTAAGAGATCTTATCTTGATATATAAGGTGGAGAGTAGTCAAGGAAGAGACACCCAACATTAACTTCTGGCTAACACACACACACACACACACACACACACACACACACACACGGGGGGGGGGGCGATGTGTAGATTCCTATTAACTACCCAACACTTAGTAAATACAAGATTCTCTCTCTCTCTTTCTCTCTCTCTCTCTCTGTGTGTGTAGAACCTCGCTACAATCGTCTTCTCTTGAAATATCTTTCTTACCTTACTTTATTCCCTCATTTCCTCAAACCTCCATTGCTACAGTATCTACAACAACCTGCTTACATCTGTCAAATTCCCATCTAATATTTAACTGAAACATGGGTCATTTGTGCTCAGAAATCTCCAGTAACTCTCAGCTGGCCAAATATAAAGACTAGAATCTGTGCCCTGCTAAAAGCTTTCTCAGCCTGGCTCCTCTTCCCATCCAGCCTTGTCAAGTCTGACCCACCTGTTCCTCCTGTTCCCCTCACAGCTCCAGGGTGTCTTAACTCTCCCCTTTGAACTCTGCAGTGTGTTTTGCCCGTGATACTGATTGGGCACCCAGACATACAGAGTGCCTTATGGTGTGTGTTTCATGTCCACAAATCAGGTCTGTAATACCTCGAAGATAAGAATTATGGCTTCCTATATTTTTGTTCCAATTTACTTTGTTAGCGTTTAAGGATAAAGTTCTTAATACGTGCCTATTCAGTAAGTGAATTCTCTTACAGCTGTGAAAAAAAAAAAACATGAAAGTTGGGCAGTATCCATTTCTGCTGGTCCTTTTGTGTATATATTACATAAGATTATCATCTAACATGTCACTCAACCGTGGTTATTGTCAGAAGTTCTCAAGTTTTTTGATCCCAGATTATCTTTACACTCTTCTTGTTTGTTTGTTTGTTTGTTTGTTTGTTAGGCTTTTTGTTTGTTAGGCTTTTTTGTTTGGGGTTTTGTTTGTTATTGGTTTGTTTGTTTTGAGACAGCGTTTCCCTCTAGCCCCAGCTGGCCTGGAACTTGCTATGTAGACCAGGCTGGCCTCGATCTTCTAGAGACTCCCTGCCTCTGCCTCCTGAGTGCTGGGATTGAAGGTGTGCGCCACCATGCCTTGGCCTATCTTTACAGTCTTAAAAGCTACCAGTTGTGAGGATTCTATCCATTGGCATTTATCATATTAGAAATTAAACTGAGAAAGTTTGAAAACAGGAAGACTCAAGCAAATATCCCATTAGAGTGATGATGTCATCACACACAGTCATATAGGCTCTGGAAACTCCATTGTACATTCAAAAGAGTGGGAGATTAAAAAGAAAACATCGTATTGTTATTTTTAAAATTATACCTAACATTTCAGAGCCTGAAGAGAGTTCAGTTAACACTCCCCCAACACACATACCTGTCCAACTACCCAGTCTGCACTTTGAAAATTGCTGACCTAGGATAATGCCAGCTTTAGTCAATAGAGTTTAAAGTAGCAAACTGCGTCAATCATTCTAAAATTAGTTCATGTAAATGAAAAGTATATAAGATTTAATAAATAATTAGTAAAAATGCAATGACCCACTTCATATGTATATGTGAGCTCTGCGCAGGAATGAGCTGTGCCTATTATTGACAGTAGAATGACTGAATGCAGAGAGAAAATGTGTTAGCAGATAAAATGCTGATGCCGTTCTTGCCGTTTCTTCATGAAATGTATATCAACAACAAGTTCAGCTTTCTTTAATTATGCATTTGACTTTAATAAATGCATCTGTCTCATGTTCAGCAAAGTTTCAATGGGCCCGTGAAGAAGTCCATGCGTGAGAAGGCTGTGGAGCGAAGGAACGTTAATAAAGAGCATAATAGTAACTTTAAAGCTGGATACATTCCTATCGATGAGGATCGTCTCCATAAGACTGGACTGAGAGGCAGAAAGGGCAATTTAGCCATCTGTGTGATTATCCTCCTGTTCATCCTTGCCGTCATCAATTTACTTGTGAGTATATAGGGCCGAACATTCCCGTTTCAGTTACCACAGGGGGATTTTCATCTGTTTGTAGTGACTCCATCGACTTTACTGTATAATTTGTTTGGGGACTGTCTTGTTTTCTGCTTCTCTATACATGTTT